ACTTGAATTGTGGTTTCAGCATCTGGAGCGGGCTTCTTCAGCAGTAGTTCGTAATGCATTTTTTATGGAAGCAAATGCTTCCAAATATTTCATGGTTCGTCTTGTTTATGAACTGCAAACTTCAAAATTTTATGATCATTCGTGATCGTGACCATTTCGTGCGGATCAATTGCTGTTCTGCTACGCTGCACGAGTTTTGCTGCATTGTCTGAAGATAGTTCGCACGCACTGTTGCAACCCATGAATTGAAACTTATTATTCATCGTAGGAGAGGTCTAAAAATTCTCTCTGCTAACGTTTCGGAGTTGTCTTGACGAAAATCGATGTTACCCTGACGTTGAAAGATGATCTTGAAATCGATGTGCGCGCATTGATTTCGAACGAATGAGACGTGCGCTGTGTAAGACGCAGTAGCCAAATTAATTCTTTTTCCATTGTGAAATTTTACCAAGATCCGTCATGTGCGATGAATTAATGCGGCGTGGGAAAAAGTAGGATGCCTTTTTCGTTCTGCCCGACACAGTCCGTTCCGTAAACGACGCACTCAGTTTTGTCACAATGATCGATTCGACGACGCATGTGGAAGATGGAAATAATCGATGGGATGTTCCTTGCTAGTGTCACAAGTAATCAGCCATGTTCCACGGGCTTATTGTTGTGTGGCGTGCTGTATAATGAAGTAGCCCAGGGGGGGTTATGTACAACAGCACTCTCCTTTATGCAGCTGGCGAAGTTGACGCATACTCGGTGTCGACAGCCAGGTCGTGAGGCCCATCTCGTTTTATCTGCCTCGTCTCTGTGGTTGGGAGATGATCACGACCTCGGCTTTGTGTCGGGGTCTGGGCTTTCACTGCTTTTCAGAGGGGTCTCATCGGATTGCTGGTCATTTGTTGATCATGTTTGCGGACAATAGAGAATATGTGCACTCAAAGGAAAAAAAACAAAAATCGACGCGAGACTTTTGATTCATCCCGCGTGTGGACGACTATGTACGAATAACTTTTATCAACATAAGAATTGCACTTTGAGAGACTCAGGATTCTCACAACGCGATAAAAACGCACTTTCTGAAATCTTACAGGAACAGGAGAAACTGTTAGCTTTGTATGATTTCTCTTCAAAAACGCACTCACAAATTTTTAGTCGACTAAAAATTATCCGGGAACAGGTTGAACCCTTTTGCTTCAAGTTTTCAGTATAATAGCTTTGTGGAGTGATTTTTGACAGAAAAATGAAAAAAATATGGCATCTCATCATGCATGCATTAATTTGTATTTACTGTGATGTATTTTCTTTCAATACCGATACAATTAATTAATTTCTGCCTTTTGATGAACTGATATTTGCTGACTGGATAGGGAATGTGAGAAGAAACTTTTCGCACCTTATTATGAACGTTGACAAGCGGCAAAGAAAGCTTGTGCATCAATCAATCAATCAATGTAAAAATACAAAAGTCACGGAAGACCAAGTTTGAGAATTGAACATTATGCTGGATTTTATGGATAAAATACGATACACTATGTCATTTTCAAACCGCTTCGGTCACGCTGGGTTAGGTCAGATTACCTTGGTATTTTGTTTACGTTCCATTCCTTGTCTTGTACAATGTCTGCAGTTTTTCTTCTGCTTTTGACAGTTTGTATTCGCCGAATTGCTTTGTGCAGATTTCCTCTCGTCAGATCAACACTTCTGATGATTGCTCTTTTCTTGTGTAACCAAAAAAAACTTCTCAGAATTCCAAAAATTCTCTTCAAGAACTGAGAGCACATATTTTTCCATTATTTAAAACTAGAGTGGCGGATTTCGGTCTACGTGTAAAATCCGAAAATCTATTCACTTGGTTCCATCTCGTGTTCCAGTTGCCAAGGATCCTTTCTGCATGTGTAGTGCCAGAAAAGAACCACAGAGGTAATGCATTCTTGGCGCCGTCTTGAAATATTATTGTGAAAATGGCGCACAAGAATCGTATCTTGAGACATTTTTGCATGCAAGAATAGCTCACGAAATACCACCGAATTCGAATGAAAAATTCCTTGCCGTATTTTGAACGTTGCGCAGACGTTTTTCTCGGGTTTATGGAAAAAATGACCGAAAGCATGGATTCGTTACATTTACTTTTAAGTGTGAATAATGTACCGTGGTGAAACACATGGATATTAAGAAAGATTTTGGACCTGAAGTGCATGCCGTCACCCTTAGGTAAAATCTCTTGAAGTAATACGTTAGGCATACGTTTTTAGTTGGTCTTTTTTTTGCAAGGGATGTTGAAGACCTTGGAACAAAATAAAGAGGGATAACGTCCACAAGCTTTTGGAACAAATTTGCTTCAGACAAATCACCCTCGTCTCCAAAAAGACGGAAAAAATTAGTTTGTCTTCGCCATAATCACTTGTTTCTTTTTGATTGATACACTTTCTTGCGCAATTCCTCATTACTCCTATATTTAGTGACGCCGGGCGTTATTAGTCGATCCATTTTGACACTCTTATTGGTTCTGCATGTTTTATAAATGACTTTATGTCTTTGAGTGGCGTGCAAGCCTTTTAAGTGCGTGAGAAATCTAAAGATAACCGCTGAGTTCACACGGAAAATGGCATTTTCGGCATAGCGAAAATCCTCTTCAAGCGATTAAGAGATCGAACATTTTTCAATGAGTGACAATTCGGGAAGAATATTTATGTCACTTTCGAAAATTGCGTATCTCGTCGAAATTTACATGCAATCTACGTTGAAAAAAGAATATATTTCGCGTATTATTTGAGAACACGTTCTTGCTTCGTACGTCGGATATTTAAGAGCGATTTTCGTGGATGTGAGACTATGTTTCAACTATTATTTGTTCAATTGTTATTTAAATTAGTTGTTTAATTGAATAAACCCTCGTGCAAATCTTTCACTATTTGTTCGAGTATCAATCGCATTTTCCCCCTTAAAGATCGGGGCAACATCATCCGTGCATGAAATTTTCAAATAGGGGTATGGCAAAAGCCCCAGTTTTCTTTTTCTTTTTTTCAGCGGAAATGTACATCTTACACGAGGGCCGGATTCGATTTATCGGAAACCTGCTGATTCTCAATTTCCGAAAAAATATATATTTTTTTACATTTAATTAAGAATCCCTGAGATATTCCACTTCCTCCATTAGTTGAGTTATGGAAGCCGTTGCAGAAGCAATTGGATCACGCAGCAGTTAAACGATCGTGAGACAATTCATTCTCTCTGCCTTATACTCGTTTACGTATTGGAAATGTAAGTCGATGGTATTTAATATGGATTCTAGCGGAGATTCAGAAGATTAGCTGATGATTCTATCGTCCCAATGTCTTTCTGGTAATACTGGGTTAAGCGGTATAGATCGGTAATTCTCATTACTATATTCATGCGAGGGGCTGAAGCAATCGAGTATTCGAAATCGAAGCGCGTCATGTTCCCCGGAACTGGTGCCCGGGATCGATGAAACTCATGGAAATTCCAGCTGGAACACCCAAGGAAAGGAAAAGTCGGGCCGCGATTCCCCGCCTAGGTATTGATTCCGCAGGATTGATGCCCCGTCGGGTTTCATTTCCGTATTTTACCAGGGAATATTGGGCACTTGGCGCGATGACGCGTGAGGTTAATGACGGATTCGACCAGAGTCTCTGATGTGCGTTGAAGTGCACTAATTCCTGATTTGTTTATTATTTTATCCTATCGGACCTATTTTGCGTTTGTGGCCAGGAAACATGTTAATGAAGGGATAGAAAATTTCTGATATACGTACCTCCGTATGGACAAAAGTTCATCCACTGGACACTGGCCCATAATAGATACGTTTACCCAGGTTTACTTGAACGTTTAACGTCGACTACTTCTCAACATAGGACATGCGTGTATTGCTCTTCGTGATGTCCTCTGCTCCCCGAGGCGCATTTTCTTGAACTCTCAAAGAACGTCACTTCAGCGATATGCGTGGAGTAATGATTAGTGAGGCTTGCAGAAAAAATTTCGTCGGGAAAATCGGTGTAGATTCCATTAGTAAACTATTACGAAGTATCCTGACCCAAACTTCTACTGGAGTCTTACGTTCTGTAGCAACAAAAATTCTTCTTGATCATGTTCGAAAAAAAACACTACGTCCCTGATAAATCAATTGTTTCGCTTCATGAAATATTCCCTGCATATGCAAAATGTATGGAAGAAGCGCGAAGGATTAAGATCCTGTGCGTCGGGACGGAAAAGTTGAATTACTCATCTAGAATTTTCCAGTTCAAAATAAGTCAATTCCCGGAGCCATTTAATCATTCTTCACGTAATACAAATTTAATGGGATCTCAGTTTTCGTGTGGATATAAATATCGGAGTAAAATTGGTGAACAAATGAGACACATTGTATCTCGAAAAAAGATTAATATTTTCCAACTGAAACTTTTTAAATCTGCGAGCGTCAGGACTTTCGTCCCGGAAAATTCGATGCTGGAATAATCTGGATAGCCTCAAAGCTTTGCGGAGAGAAAATCCCGATATTGCTTCATTCTCTCGACAATGAAATTTCTAGTACCCGTCGAATGCGTAAGCAGCTTTCAAAATGTTTAGTTTCGTTTCTTTCAAAAATGATTAATAGACGACAGCGCCAAATGTGACAGTTTCCGGCCGGATTTGCACGCGGGCTTTCCCTCGTCACCCGTCCTTTACCAGTATGAATTACTTACGCTGATGTTCTTTGCAGAATCCTGTATTTACTTCTCAAGTAGATTTTTTTTTCTGAATGTCATCACATAAGTAATTACCTTGTGAGCTTAAGTTGCCAAAATCATCTCTCTTCATCACATATTAGAGATCTTCAGGTTTTTCACTTGCGTTCAAAAATGACAATATGATAGAAGTAATTGACCTTGAGATCCCGTGAAAGGAACGCTGGTGAAAATCGATTAATTTTGTGCAGTTGTTAAGGTATCAGAACTGTCCGCTGGGGGCTTACAACTGTGGAATTTGTTTCTGTGGTATGGGTAATACGTGAAATGACGTTTCTGGAGGAACTGGTATGTGCACATGAATGATCTGAGTTCTTGATGAAGAAACCGGACGGCTGCAAACTTTCCACTCACACAAGCCTCCCATGTTTGAGTTCTGACGTCACTGTGTTTTTCATCGTCGCAACCAGATGAGATACCAAGTGCGCGCAATTTTGCCGAGAGGAATCGCATGAATTTCAAATTCGATTGCTCGCTTCCACCTGACGTTTCCAATTTCTCGTTTTTAGCTTTAGTGGACAGGGAAATTCACTTTGCTAACTCCGACTTCGCCATTATCTCCCCCTCGAAAGGCGATTACCTTCATCAGTCAGTCGTATTTTAACGATCGAGCGCAGGGTGTCTCGAAGGTTGATTTAATTCGCTCAATTTCAGCTTGAAAGGTTTGTTTTGCTCTGAACTCGAAGTGCATCTGCAAGGAGGGGAGAGATTTTTTTTTATTCTGCACTTGGGTGATTTCTTCACTTCCATGCAAAGGATTCTGGAGTTCTCACGATTTCGTTCACAATTTTGGCAGACTTCTTCGTACTGTAATTTTTAAAGAGACTATTTTCTGACCACTTTTCAGACTTTTGATCCCCTGTGCTGAAACGTAGAGAATCTCTTGTCGCTCAAAAGTCAAAAATATAAGTTTAACTGCAAATGTGTTTGTGAATTTTCATGAAAATTCACAAACGTGTTTGCAGTTAAACTTATATATTTAAACGTGTATCAAATGCATTTCTGCATTATAATCAATCCTATCCATGCATAACTTGAGTTACAGGCATAACTCATCCAGGCATAACTTGAGTTACGCCTGGATAAATACCTAGCTGTAACTAGAAGGTGTTTTGAAACACTTATATGATATGCACTATTCAAAATCCCAAGTAGGCATAACATAGAGGGGCATGAAATGCGTAGCAATTTCGGCTGAAAACGCATTTGAAATGCGTTTCAAAATGCCTAATTATTTGCTGGGCAGTCAGTGTACATTGTTCAAGCAATATTTGAACTATCACTTCAGCTCAGAATGAAACAATATTTTCCAAGTTTAAAATGTATTAATATCGAAAAACAATTGTGTAAATGCAGCTGAATCTTACTTGAAACTGTCCGTTGGTGAGGAAGAATTTGCTTCGAGGCTGCAATATATGAATATTTTTAGCTACGCTCTTGAAGTCTTTGGAAGTGATCATTTAGTTTTTGGACTGATTCCGGATCGGAAACTCTATTACCGAAATTAAATTTTTTTAGGTTATCACGAAGCTCAGAAATCTTACTTCGTTCGTGCATTTAGGATTTATCGTGGTATACCTCAGGAATGTCTTCCATGTATGCCATTTGATCACTGTTGGCTAGAATCTCGGCGTGAAATTATGAATATATTTTTGAAGAATGAAAAATTCGCTAGAAAATCCGTACGTTCCTTCTCGATGATCAAAATCTATTCATCTTGATGAAGCAGACATATTTTGATCTAACTGATCTGAGTGCATCGCCAATGTCGCTTCCATCCCACGTTTCGCAGAAATTTGAAGGCCTCTAGAAAATCGGAAAAACATCTTTTGATCTTTGCGGATTGGGACTCGATCCCGAAGTGCATGTCGCAAAGGCTCTCCAGGACATAACGTGGATGGTTCGAGGCATCGTTGAGAGTGCTTCGCGGAGCTCCACGATGGAAGCAGGTACCTGCAAGAACGACCTGGATTTCCCAGAGTTCTTCTGCTAAATACTGTACTGTAATGCCCGTAGAATTCTTTTTTTTTCCTGGTGTTCTTGAGTTACGACCCTTGAATAATGAAGCAGTCAGCCGTCGGGCGGAAGTCTTAAGTCGAGAAAATTCTTATCGCTAGCCAGTGCGCACCCAGAACTACAGTCAGCTTTCCCCACAGCCGTAATTCCTTTTTCCAGGAACGAACAAACGAAGTAGATCTTGCTTGCCTCTCTGGTCCCAGGGGTAAACTATGTTTTGACAGCATTGCACTGATTCGGTTGCACAAAACAACAAAGCTTTTCCCACTGTTGCTCATTAGGTAGGAGCTCACGTCTATTGAAGTAGTGGTCCCTGAGGACACCTGCTAAGGCATCAGAGTTCCTGGGATCTCACTTGTTTGATCAGACGTTTGATCCTCTGTAAGGTAGACGACCAGAACATCTTACTCGCAAGAAAAAAAAAACATCTCAGGAGAAAAGCACCCAACGGAGAGATCCATGACCAATTCTTTCGTTAAATCGAATGTGTTTTCTTTTTTAAACTTGCTTTTTTCTGTGTATAAGTGCTTAATTTAACTTCAGATTTTCCGAAATCTTAGCTTATTCTGTGATTTTGTCGGATGAAATTCGGACAGAAATTCGTTGAACGTATTCTGAGAGTAAACGTTAGCCGCGTATTTTACAGGGAAATGAACCTAATATTTCGCTTACCTTTCATGACCTGGGGGGGGGGGGGGTAAATATGCGACCATTCTCATAAATCATTGACTCAAGGAAATCATTGACTCAAGTCACTCGGTTTCCCGGAATTACGACTTTTTTCAGCGAACAATTTTGTTCGAGTCCAAAAAATCGGTTTTGGAGGAAAATGTTTTCTGTCGATACTGAAGAGCGTTTTTTTTTTTTGGCCTTGTTTATTAAAGAAATAATGCCCTGCATTTTTAAAGCAAATATTTATCCGTAAAATTTGGAAGAGAAGCTTTTCCACCGTGAATCCGTCGATTTTATGAAGACACGACCTTTTCTTGATATAAAGTTTGTTTTTGAAGGAAAACATGCTCGTTTCTGCCGAGATCCTTACCTGTAGATCTTGGATGAGCACTCGGTTTGTGAAAAACAAACGCAAATGCAGAAAATGTGTTTTCGTGAAAGAATTTCCTCGCTGGTTCGTGAAAGGGTTCAATCATGCATCTTAATTTTGTCCCGACGCAACCAGCAGCGAGGATCATTTTTCAACGAATTTCAACTTCCTTCCACCAGCAATGCTGAGGAAGAACCCATGGGATAACCCCATTTATCCAAGTTCTCGTGTCAGACTCGGAAATGACCTTTTCCTGTCTGCTGAGCGTAATTTCTACCAGCGAAACCGCGGCTTCTCGTCACGCACTGCAGGTAGCAATCAGGGAAACTCGGTGACTTTGTTAAATAAAAGAAGTAATAATTTCCTCAAGACTGGAACCTCGGCTCGAAAATAATCATTGAGGATGTGCGAATACACCCATTTTTTTCGGAAAAGTTCGCCTTTCTCGGTATTGACGAATGGCACACCAAAGATCCGACTCGAAAGAAAACATCACATTTCGCGATTGATCCGGGCTTGTGCCAACAATTGCCTCGCCCAATGTTTCTCTCTACCCGAAAAAACTTTGCGAAGAGTTTCGCTAATTGCATATTGGATTTATGTTTTGCACCAGGAAAACTTGCGACGTCGTAAATGCGGTGCAATATATATACCTTCTTAGGAATCGTTCCAAGGATACAGTATTTTTCCGAAAGTATCGACTTGCCAGAAAAAACAGCGGAGCAAGTTTTGGAGACCGTTCACGAAGTCGTGACATGATGAAATGAGCCCGAGATATGATTAAGAAACACACTTTAAATCGCCGGGTACAATAATTGTACATTTACATATTCAAAAAATGTTTCCTTGAGTAAAAATGTTCTTAAAAGAAAAATGTTGATGTCTTCTATACATTGCTATAGTGTATACAACATGGAAAATAAACTCCGGAGACAACTTTGAAGAGCCCTGCACAAAATCCGTAATCTAATTTTTTGGTTGTTGAATGAAAGTTAAAGTTCGCATTCATAGCGATCACTAAGTGCTTCAAATCCTGCAATATTATGTTACTCTCAGAGAAATTACATGGTTAAAGATAAAGCATATATTCTGAAAATGAGATGGTGCGTATTTATTATTGCATAAGTGTAATTATAGTTTCAAGAAAGCGATAGAGAACCCGAAAAGCTGGTATAGCAAAAAGTCGATGTATTAAACTCGCTGTGAAAGTGTTGAGAACAAATATGTTTGAAATGAGATATTGAATCCTTCCATGGTGAATTTTTTGCAAAAATCGACGAACTTGGAATTACCAACAATTTCTTTAGTGGAGTAATCGATATATCACAGGAGAAACTCAGGGAAACGTTTTTCCAGTAAAAGTAATTCTTTTGTGAAAGTAAAGCTGCAAAACCGTATGGTACTGAACAGGGTGATTTTTCATGAAGATGTGTTTTTAGGATTGCATCCAAGAATTTATGCTCCGAACGTTGAAAAAATACATTGGGTTGAACATTCCATTACAACGGTATTTTTAACGAATAGTTGACACGTACGATGCGTAATTCTTATGAAAAATATCAGAAATTTCTATAGATTTGGAACGTGGCCTTTTCGATTCGTATTTCGGACTTCACCGACAAGGGACGCGTTAGAAATACTGTAATGTGCATACTGACGTTCGTATTTTTCCGAAAGTGGTAATCACTACAGTAGCAACTGAAAAATAAATTGCGAAAATTGCAAGATATATTCACGGATGCAATCATATTGCTGTAGTTTGGAAACATCGGAAAGTTACGTTTTCCCCACGGACTATTTTACTCATTAGCTTCTGTGGACAAATTTGGGTTTTACTACTTTATAAGGTATTCCTCCAGCAACCTACAGCGCAGACGTCGTCCGAAAGATTTTCTCATTTGCCTCCTGAAACTTTTCAATAATGCGTTTCTGAAAGTTTCGTTGGAACTGCTGCCTTCCATTGACGCGTGGACGCCATGATGACTTCGATCCCCGCGAGAAAACATGTCCTATATCTGAAGAATTGTTTTGTCTATTTCTCTCGTTCAGATCATCGGCCTGCTGAATGCTTTCACCCCTCAGCGGAGTTTGGAAGACTTCCAGGACGTGTACCTGGTGATGGAGCTCATGGACGCGAACTTATGTCAAGTAATTCAGATGGACTTGGATCACGAACGAATGTCCTACCTTCTGTATCAAATGCTTTGCGGAATAAAGCACCTTCATTCTGCCGGTATAATTCATAGGGTGCGTATACGTCCGCCATCTTCGTCGAAAACCCGTGCGTCCGACTTTGAAGTTCGGGGACAAATAGCATTTGCGTCTGAAGTTTTGTCCTCCTACTAGAATGAATTACTCGGATTTAAACTTTGCTATCAATGGAGAAACAATGCACAACGTTTTTTGCTTCTTGGGAGGCATTAGTATAGTCAACAAAAACTTAAAATTTTAATCCATTCATTTCAAATCAATATAAATGCTTATAGGACAATCGAAATAATGAAAACGAGTGCAGTTTCACTCGTTTTCAGGGGAACAGAAATATTCTCTCTGATGAAACATGTCTTCCTTTGAAACTTTCGCGATGACTGATGATTTCCAGCAGCAACTTGTTATTCCGCAAAATATTTTAACCAATTAATTTTTCTGTTTCGATCAGCTTATTGGCCTCTTCCATCGTCAATTCTACTCGAATATATGACGCACTGCTTTTCAAAAGATTTTTTTTAATTAGGTTATTTTACGTAAATTGCATCTTACATCAGATAGTACCAAATGAAAACTTGCGATTTATTTTTCGGGTTTCCTGAGTCCTGACTCTTGAGTCTTGAGTCAACGACGCGCTCGTCCGATGGAGTTTTACGTAATAAAACAAGTTCATTAGAGGAAATCGAATCGAAGTGCGAGTTAAATTCGCAGGATCGAAAGAAAGGACGAATGAGGAAATTTCGTTTCATACTCGATGACGCCTTCTGCTAAGAAAATTTAAAAATGCGCTAGTTCTTCGAGCGTCTTTTCCTGATTAAAGGCATACGCGAGCTTGGAATCATCAAGATATTGATTCATGGCTGATTGATTTGCACAGGATTTGAAGCCGAGTAATATTGTGGTGAAGTCGGACTGCACCTTGAAGATATTGGACTTCGGATTGGCTCGGACTGCGGGCACCACGTTTATGATGACTCCATATGTTGTGACCAGATACTACCGCGCTCCAGAGGTTCGAGAGGTTTACTTAGCTCTCCAGTAATTGATAGATTCCTGGTAAAGCCCCCCGAAGGCTCTCTAAGGTGTTTGCCAGCACCCTTCAGTGTCGTCGGTTTCTCGGAAAACAGTTCCCTGATTTCCTCTCGCGGAAAAATTGATGAAACTCGGACGTTGAATGATCAATGCCTTGTACATGTACCGTGTGGTTCTCGTGTACTTTTCAGGTGATTTTAGGGATGGGATACACCGACAACGTAGACATTTGGTCCGTTGGATGTATCATGGGAGAGATGATTAGAGGAGCAGTTTTGTTTCCTGGCTCGGATCACATTGATCAATGGAAGAAAATTATTGGTGAGAGAAAATTACCACCTGCACCACGCGCCCGAGGTTTTTAATCCCAATAATCCGGAAAAACTTTTCCCGGTTTAAGGCATAAATTATACGAGATTGCATGTACTGGTTCATCTGATGCCGATATATATGCAATCAAGTTGGTCACGTGAATACTTTTTTGTTTTTGAGTTTTTCTGTAAACTTTGTACGAATTATACATTGCTGAGAACGTAAAGTTGGACTCGAAAGATTGCAGTCTTTTGGTTAAAATTTTTTTTTTTCGGAATCCATGCCGCCATTCGTTTTTAATTAGTCCAAACTTTTAATTGCGTGTGACGCGGACATTTCTCCGGGCTTCCTCAAAGAGATGTACTATCGATTCAACCAAAATAACGATTGAATTTCCGTTGCAGAGCAACTAGGAACGCCATCTAGCGAATTCATGCGCCGGTTGCAGCCAACTGTTCGGAATTACGTGGAAAATCAGCCGAGATACACTGGTTACCCGTTTGACAAACTCTTTCCAGATTGTCTTTTCCCTTCGGATTCCACGGAGCACACGAAGCTGAAAGGTTGTTTACGACGTAAACTCGTGTGCACCACTCAACGTTTCGAAACTTTTCCGTTTAAAAGTTGCATCCGGGTCTTCAGCAGCGTGTTTTTTCCGCCATAAAATTACCTCTATACCCGATGGTTGACACGACTGTAAACTCTTGTGTTGAGAGTTGAGGAAGTCAATTTAACGCGGAATTAGATTTGGAACTTTCCGCGCAGAAGATTTTCCGCGAAGCTCTTACTGTTGCGCTTTAGCACTCAGTCATCATCAGATGCACTTCCAAGTGGACGTGGATGAGATGATGCTTGCTTTGAAGCGCGTTTTCCACGTAGAAAATATTCCACCATAGTTTTTCATGGACAATTTTTGCGAAAAATAGTTGATTGTATCCATCCATATGAAACACACAACGTTTCCTGACTTCTTTCACTCCAAGATTTGTTTAAATTAGATCCGTCTGATGCAATATATCCTTTCGCAACGTAATTCGTTTAAAAAAAAACAATCAACAGAATTTACATACGCCAACAAAAATTAACATTGATGCACGTTTCAGTATCCGTCTTGCGCACAAAACCATGTTCTGTGCCAATGCATCGTCGTGTCTTTAATTGTGAGACGTTTAAATCATAACTTTAATTTCACGCTTTCCATTGCACAGTGGAAATCAGTGATGATGGTTATTCGGAAAGTATGCGAGACCCTGAATACAGTAATTCAATGCTTCAAATACAGCTCGAATTATCTGTTTTTTTAATTGAGCATAAAACCCTGTGCATGGAACGCCAATTTTCTACGCAATAGTCTTTGTATAGTCCTTGTAACAGTGGTGGTTCTGAGAATATCATCTGGATGTGGTGGTAATTAACCGTAATTTTCCTGTCAAACACTGAACTTTGGCGGTAATGAAACTTCTTATAATTCTGGATTCTATGAAAGTGTACAGTAGTGCACGGTAGTTCCTAAACAGCTGTCCAGAACGTTTGTTTGGTACATTTTTCACTTTTTTTTACTGCAACTACATAATGCAAATCTGTAGTCAATCGTTATTGGATAGGGGCATATTTGAGATTCAGAGTTCTTTATCCTGGAATTTTTTGACCAATGACGAGAAACAGCGCTGATTCTTACTTGAATGAGTCTTTAATAATCGACGGAATTCTCCATTTCCTGCATGGAGGCGCAAAGAATTATTCAGGCACAGCGGGATTTTAAAAAATAAGTCCCAGCGTAAAGAACGCGTAGCTTTTCAAGTTTTATTTTCTGCCTTTATCAAAAAGGAAGCGTAAAATTAATCTGGAATGGGTGAATGAAATCAGATGTAGCGCTGAAGAAAAGTCGCAGGTCATTTTCAGCATTCCGTGTGCAGTGCTCATGTTCTTTGTCATTCATGAGGTTTTGATATTCACGAGACTCGTAAATGGTTTCGAGACAAAACAGTAGCCTGAAACATTGGTGCTCCGCGTTTTCCACCTGAATTATCACAAAAGAGAATATGACGTGCGCGAACATTACTAATGAACTCGATGTGATTCTTGGACAGCTTCACAAGCCAGGGATCTGCTGTCGAAGATGCTGGTGATAGATCCTCAAAAGAGAATATCCGTGGACGAGGCCCTACTGCACCCGTACATCTCCGTGTGGTACGACGAGAGCGAGGTCAAAGCTGTGAGTAGTTGAGAGATTAAACTGAGGTCGTATTCAGAACAGTGTTTTTATAACGAATTCGCAGCCTGGCCCGTCCTTGCAGCCTGCCCCGCACGTCTACGACCACACTGTGGACGAGCGGGAACACCTGGTGGAGGAATGGAAGACGCTCATTTACGCAGAGGTGATGGAGTACGAGGGGAAACATTATTCCGAAGTGCCGGTACCACAGCATAGTCACCATCCGCACCCGCACCAGCATCAACACCAGCACCAGGCTTCGCCACACAGCGCCGCCGCGGCGGCGGCGGCGGCGGCTGCTGCTGCTGCTGCTGCTGCCACTGCGGCCGTCACATCAGCGCCTCCGCAAAACTCCAACCCGCCGTCGTCGTCGTCGTCGTCGAACTCTTCGTCGACGTCGTCGAACCACTCGGCTGGTGCCAGTGTGGGACCCGATTCCAATGGGTATCCCGAGGATGATGGGTCTCTGTCGCGTGGGGGGTCGGCGCGACGTTAACTGGCGGGGAGAAAGCAAGAAGTCCACACCTTGGACTCAGGCGCGGATTTTGATTTTTTAAGTTGACCTGCTGGTTGAAAAAGAAATACCACCCCAGGAGGAACGAACCCTCATGCTTCCGATTGTAGAAATGTGGCATGATATGAGGTCTTGGACTTCGATGAGTGTCCCGACTCCTATTCCCGCTGTCGCTTAATGTTCTTGAATGATCGAATCGATGTCAGACAGCGATGTTGCAGTACCCGCGACTCCAGGAAAAAGACAGAGAAAAAAGCAGCGCTTCAAAATTTATAGCTTGAGTTAGTCTCACAAAATCTGAAGAATGATTCCTGAAAATTACCAAAAATGCTTGGAAATTTCGAGTTATCATCTTTGTGCTCAGAGTTTAAAGTTGTGATAGGGCCTTTCGGGGTTGCCGTGAATTCCTGGAATATACTTCAGGGAGATATTAGCATTTTCCGAGCATTGTCAACATTTTCGTAGCAGATTCCAAAGTAACATGCAGCTCAGCAAATTTAATTCTGGGGGTATTTATTGATGCATTTGACCGAATGGACATTAAAAAAAAGGTACTAAACCTGAGCTTATGGCGAAGTTATGTGATTATATTGTTTGTTCAAGAATCAAGAGTCAGGACAAAAAAAAAGCGCCGACAATCTTGCATTTGCTGTATGAGGAGAATGTGCAAAATCTTCTGCGTGAATAATTACATAGCAGTTCCAGGCAACTCCGAAAGACAGTTTCAACTCCCCTATACTTTCTTTCATATCTAGATTCCATTGCCAGTGTCTAGTTCGATCAGTTCATCAGGCAAAGATCAAGGCTATGATTTATTTTGTTCAATTCTTCGACGCTGCATACTGCGCCGAAAGACGTCAACAAATGCATAAAAATTATGTCAACATTTTGACGTTCACGGAAACTTGAAAAGTTGAAGGAATTTCTAAAACGCTTTTTAAATCGAGAACGATTTTGGACTCGTTGGGATGCCAACTAACTTATTTTTGCGAAATGTAAGACGCCCTTCTCCACTTCAGACTCCCACAAGAATAGTTTTGGAATCGATCGTACCCTGACTTATTCTATTTTAAAATGCTTGTGTAAAAGGCGGGCTTGTTCGAAAAGAGCATCTATTAAAACGTTTACATGTTTCCCACTTACTTATATTTTTATCCATCGGAATTAGTTCTAAATTTAATCTAAACCGAATACAGAAGGTTGGAAATACCAAAGAGCGAACATGAGGCAGCATTCGGCGACGTATTCTTGGTATACACGATGTTTGTGATTTCCGTTGAAAGATTAATTTTATTTGAACGAAAATTAAAATTACTATACCTGTACCTTCATTCTTGTTTCATGCGTTACTTTAAATGTGGTGCTTTTTTCGGTCACTCCGTAGATTCTTGTGTCTGAGGGACAAGTTCGGAGGCAATTGACAGGGTGTTTTCGATTCAGGAACAATTCTTATTTCATTTGTCTGTTTGGCTTTAGCCATTTAAAGCATCTTAGAATCCACGGCGTCTTACATTCGCTTATATATGGTAGTTTTTTGGATTCCCCTTTTTTCTGAAAGAGAGCTTTTTAGAAAAAAATCCGTTGCCGCATGCTACCAGCGCCTTTGACATTCTCATCACGTCCCTTGATCTTACCCGAGACGAGTTCGGGTTCCAGTGGAAGTTACCTTCCTCGGTGGTACTCCACTTCCGTATGGCACCCCTATAGCTGGTCCTGTTTCTTTTTTGTCAATGTTCACGGTGGGTCGGTGTTTTTTGAAGGCAATTCCGAGCGAACAATTGCCCGCGGCGAAGGACCCATGATGCGTATTACTGCTTTTGGATGCGTGCAAAAAATGCGGAATCCTGACTTTGTCCGAGTCGGATGTTTGGAGTTTTTGCGGAAATTTTTGTTCGGACGGAAATTCAATGAGTTTTGGTATCAAATTGCGAAGTCGCTTTATTCCTGTGCACTTCGTTGTTGTTCTGCTTCGAAACTTCTTTATTTGTGAATTGTTGTGTTCGACGAATCGGGTTAGTGCTCGACAAAATGTTGCGTGGGCGTTCCTGAGGTCGATGATCTTTTTAAAATTAATTTCAGAAGCCAGACATGACGAACATTTTTTACTGTTTTCAGTGGCATTTTTGTTGAATATTCATTGCTGAGTTAATGGGGTATTCTGGTACGGGCGCGAGTTTTTCCCAGTGTAAAAGATCACTTTTTCGGATGAGGAACAATTGTCAAGGGCGTTCAATGATTACCTTGAGATTATATTCGCTGAAAAGTGAGAACTAAAAGGAATGTCCGGCAGTTTTCGTCAACAAAATCATCCATGAATTGCCCATACAGTACTATCGTCGAGAATAGCACTGCTACGTGGAATTGGCATTTGAGTGAAGAAGTTTCTTCAAGCCGATCTATAAAGCATGTAATTTTTGAAGTATTTATGGATGAAGGGAAAAAGTCTGAATGAAAACTGCCGGCGGGAATTCAACTTTAATCCCATGAGTGTGTTCCGGTTCTTTACAATTTTAAAAAAAGAGCCAGAATTGTTCTGAAGCATTGTTTGATTCGCTTGGCCGGTTATATCATCAAATTCCATCGGCTTCGGTGACTATACTCTGATGAACCGGATCTTCGGAGTTTGACGAAATCGCGCGTTTCGGATATTTTGTGAACACGGTCATTGCTTGCGATCAATGAGGCTACCGAAGTTTCCGGAAGTGCTTAAAGAGAGAAATGTTATGAGCTGTGATTTTTCCATTCCCAGCATCTCTGTGGTATACGTAGTCGGATAGGATCTCTTGAGGTGTTAGCAGCGAATATCGAATCTTAGTCAGGTAGATCTTGTTCGAAATTTGATCGTGGACGTGGTATCACGCGTTTTAGAGCCCTGTTTCATCTATTTCTCGAGAAGTATCTCGAGAATACGATGCGCGTGTTATTCAGCAATCGCTTTGCCCACGAAACGCTCTTCGGACGACGTCTCGTGTGTCTCGGAACAATTGTGGCTATGAACGATTCCTACAAGATCTCTTTTCTTTTCGTGCGAGACATGGATAATTGGCAAAGAAAAATTTTGAAAGCTCACGAAGGATTATGCGGGCAGCCGCTGTCTTAGCAACTCGCTGTTCAGTTTTATAGCAAAAGTTGAGTTGCAAACTTATAGAACGCTTTTTGAATAATCCATGTCAAAATTATTTTATCCGCGGGTTTCTCTGGAAACATTTCATGCGCTCGTCGATATAAAAAAAAAGATGGAGGGGTTTTGGGGCAGGTGAGGACTATATGGGAAAACGTTTTGAAACTCTCAAAAGTGAAACTCTGATTTGATTTCTTCGAGCAAGAGTTTGGCAAAAAGAAAAGTAATGAAAGAACTTCGCAACAGCCCGCATTACCTGTTCATTCAAACGTATTACATCAAGTCCAAGACTTTGACCTTTCGAAAAAACACCATATTGTACCAACCGTTGTCACAGAAATCGTCACCTGCTTGAGAATTTTTGAAAAATGTAAAAAAGGAACCACGGAATTTTAATATTATCTTCGTTATACTGAGAAGAATGAAAGTGCTTTTTGCTTCGAGTAAGGTCGTGGTAAAATGAAAAGTAGTAAAGATACCTTGGCAGTAACTCGATTTCAATTTCATTTTCATTTCACCTTCAAATAATTTTCAAATTCAAAAAAATTACAAACATTTGATTCACAAAAATCAGCGAATGTGTAAAGGATATAAACAAGCTGAAAACAATTTTCCAACCACGACATGCTACATAATATCCGTCTCTTTTAGAAAATGAAGATCCGAATTGCGTATTCGTGGATTTATGAGCAGTCTTCCGGAATACAATTCAATCCAAGAAAATCTTCGCTGAGGGTCGCAAGCATGTTAATGCATAAATGATTTAAAAAAAATATTCATTCATATGGAGGGAAGATTATTATTCTTTTTAGATATTGAGGCTAAATTATTAAATTCATCTGATTTGTCTGATAAGAACATAATGTCAACTCCGAAGTCCGATGTTGAAGACAAATGATGGGATAAACAAATGTTACATTTGAAACTTTCCAATTTACAATCATTTTACTTGGAAGAGTGGAGACGCTAAAAGTTTGCCCCGAGGCGATGTGAAAAGCTCGCTTGATTTACGCATCAAATCAGCGCCATTATTTGTCTGCTCGATCTTCGACAGCCACTTCCGGAAGAAAACTCGTATTTGCAAATCGTTACCGAAGTTTCGAGGAATCCCATGAAACACAATATTGACAGTCAGTACAAGAACGGGGCGTGTCACTCGTAGTTTCCGGGAGTGAATGAATGGACCAAGTACTCGGGGAAGCGGAAATACTGGGAGCACTGCTTTTCTCTCGTCTCAGTAATATGTTGAGTGCTTCAAGCAACTTTCTTTCTCAGTAGAAAAGTTCAGTCCAAATCCTTTTGATTGTCTCCTCCCGATAAGGCATGAATGTTGTCTGGGTACCCACTGATCAATCTCCGGGTACCCACGAAACACGAGCACGCGACTGGTACTCGGAAAGAATCGACATGCAGTCCTTCCAAAGGGTGGAACGCCACCATCCTGACGTAATTGTGCTTTTGCAAGCAACGTGAGTTGAAATTTGCGCCGATGTAATTGCACGAATTGTCAGGGTACCTGCAAAATTGCACCGACAACGTATCCATTTCAAATCTTTGACGATTAATATCCCATCTAACTGTCGATGTTGTTTCAAAGCCATCTATACTTATTCGACCATGTCTCGAAAATTTGAAAGAAACTAATCTGAAGGTTGCATATAAAAAAAAAAACCAGTGACAGTAGAGACGGAACTACAGTACACACTTGGAATCCATTATATTTATGAACCACGAATTAAGAACAATCCGATTATTCAAAGCAAAACTTACTCGCAAGAAACACGTGAGAAATGATTATAATGATGAATTTTTATCGTTTTGATAATTTCAATAATTAATTGAAAGGCTTATGGAAAATATTGCGGGATTCCGTGCGGAGCATTATTGCTGAAAGATATTTTTAAAGTGCGAAAAACTGCAATGAACCTGAACTGAATAACGGTTTTCATGAGAGCATATCCGTAAAACCCTCGTATAATTTTCAATTTTTGTTGTTGTGCATATACGTTTAATATTATAAAAGAATGCAGGGATTTCCTGATAAAATAAGGTCAAGTCTTCGATTAAAGCACTTACAGACATCTTTCCATTCGCTGTGTTTGCGTGAACCTTCGAAGATCGTAAGGAACACGCTGTTCGTCGGCCAAATTGACAATCACTTTCCATTCCCCTCGAACATTCATCGCTCTTTTCGGCCTTCCGTAGTTTATTCGTGATGAGCAAACGTAACCAGCACCTCGCTGTTGGTTCGGATCGTGACCATAATTCCTGAAGCGAAGTCACAAAAAGAAAATTATTTGGAAATGACCACAGTATTCAGTGACACAAGCTATACAAACCAATATTCAAGAAATTAACTTCATTAGCATGATTGCGATTCCTGAGCGATGGTTATGTTCCTTACAGCCCATATAAGAGTGCACGAGTCTCGGGAGTTCTTTCAAAAATTTTCTTAGCAAGTTTGTCGAGTGCAGGCCTCAAATGAGTACAGATAAATATTATTCTGAATATTATTCAAGATTCCTCTGAATCGCAAAAAAATCTGGCGAGTCGCATATGGACTTTATGTTGCCAAAATTGTGCTTGAAATGGTTTATTCAAGTACGGGTCTGACCACTTTAAGCTCTTCATTTAAATTTCAAAATGATACACCGTTAAACCACGATATCTTAAAATTTTCACTGAAAATGAGATGTTTAATAAAATACAAGTACAGCAGCGATGGCTGCATAAAGTAGTGAAAGCTATTTTAAAAATTGTTCGCACGTCGAACATGAATGATGCAACAAAATATGCCTCACCATCACAATGCATTTATATACAGTATGTGTGTTTATTCATCAATTCAGGATTTCGGTGTATTAATCCATGATCTGAACAACGCAGGCTTGCCTCTGAGAGAAATCACAAAATTTCATTCCACATTCAGAAGAAAAAGAGTTCAAGTGCGTCCAAAATGCATCAGCAACTTATTTATTTCATTTTTGTACCACGTAAAATTCACGGTGCTTCATGTCATTCGTAGGCTCGTAGCGTATCATCGTATGCCAGTGAAAAAGTAAATTTCCTGCTACTCAGGGTACAGGGTTTAATTTTATTGATATTGAACAGGGTGCCGACTGATGAAGCATGTCGTCTGGCGGGGTTTTTGCCAGTAGTGCTGATACACGGACACCCCAATCTAGTCTAGAACGATGAAAGCTCCAGCAGAAGAGAATATATTTTCGTCTTTCCTACATACATGGGATAACCTACTGCTTCGCCTCCCGCGTTTTCGTCGGCGTCGAAACTATGATTCTTCCCAGACGAATTTATATGCATGAGGCAACAACACCAACCTACATACTGCGTCACGCGGACGAAACCAGCATCAGACGCCAAGGAATGAGGAAGGAGGATATTTTGTACCCTGACACCAGGAGGATTGCTTCGTCAGGAGCAAGATTCGCAGCGTGCTCGGGAAAATTTCCAATCCCCCCCTTTTTTTTCTCTCCTCTGATGAACAAAAGAAGAGTATGCATCTCATGGGAATTCTTGACTGTGTCAGTAGGCGTGGAGAGGATACTTGTTAAGGACATTTGCAATTCCATGAATCCGCATATACTCGCACAGTCGGATTCAATAACCGAAACTACGCTTCAATGCGAAGCAAAAGGTGCGATTTCTCTTGGAAATTCCCCGGCCGCAAATCGTTTCCGGTTTTTCGTGAGGCCTTCCGGGATCCATATACAGCATTTCAAACTTTCGCATCTACTTCCATTCGAAGAGCCCTTTTTGCTATCGATTTATGTTGCTGAAGCCAAGTTCAGGCCTAATCTGTTTCTCACTACTTTGCTTACTCGGATGGAAGATGTCATCGATTGAACTTGAAAGACGCAGCTCAGCTTTGAATGACTGAAAAATTGAATAGTTTTCCCTGAGAATTTGAGACTCACTTCCATGATACTGACTCTAAAAAAACAAGAAGTTTGTTGATCTGACTCATGCTTTGTTTATCGGCCAAATCCCTCCAAACCAGCTTTCCTCCAGTACAATGTTCTCATGTAGATGTCGCTCCTGCGGCGACGGAAGGAGACGAACTTTCTGTTCTATGATCGCGTCGTGCTTCATTTCAGATTTACAGTACAGTACTCTATATTGTGTATGCAAAAATTCTGGCTGCACGCGGATTATAATCAGCAATTTAACGGGGAACTAAGAAGGGCCACGCAAATTTCGAAGAAACTCACAAGATTTCCGATTTAGAATTCTAGAAACGTTGAAAATTAGATTCATTCCTGATGAAGTTGTACTGTAATTCAAAACGAAGTCGGAGAATTGTATCATGATGTGATTGCTCTACAGGTGTGAAATCAGCCGGCGGGTCTTGCTCTTCGCAGATATTTTCATGTTTCAACCATAAGGCCAGTTCAGTAGGACAGCGTTGTGGCCTAAACGTCACACACCTCATGGATATAGGCCGCAACCTAGTTTTCTGGGCATTTTATTCGGGAGAAAAGTTCGAACTGTAGACGCGTCAAATATACGGGGGTTTTCAACCTGCTTTTTCTCTGATGATATAAAATTATGAATGACTGGCATGGGCAGAATACAACCCTACTTACGAGCGTCCTTGCTGGTTCTGGAAGCGCGAAGATTGCCGCTGGCCGAAGTAATGGTCATACGAATACGTCTCCTCCTCTTGCTTAGTCAGGCCGTCTATCAGATCGTCAGCCGACTGGTAAGTAACGTCGCTGAACAGCCGATGCGTCGTTCGCGGGCTCCTCCTGATGGCCTGCACCACTTCCAAGCTGAAGAGAAAACAGCAGAAGAGTGAGTTATTCTTCCTGAAGCTTAAAAAAAAAGAAGAAGAAACTGGGCTAGAGTTTTATCTTTTTCCTATGCAGTAACGTCGATATGTATGAATTGGGGCAAAAGATGAAATTTGCGTCATTTTTGGGTCAAGAATTGCAAGTGACATAATTCGAAATTTCCGAACTTTTCGTCCCACTTTGAAAATTGTTTCAGAGCTGTCCACTTCAATATTATTATCATTACTTGTATGAAACAAAAAATTGCCATCGCTGGATTTTATTTTCAAGCGGGCTTCAATTTAGATTTTCACGCGACACGGTTTTTCGGATAGAAATTTTGATGAATAAAACTAAGGTGCGCGTTTTATGCGGGAATAATATTTCCCCTGAAATTTTAACTGAAAATCTAAAGTGCATGCATATCTTACTCGACGGAACTTGGTACTGGAGTA